ACAGATACCCACAGCTAAACCTTGAACTGAAATGAAATTCATATGCAGAGAAGGAGGACTGATGAGCAAAGGGGTCCAGCCAGGCTGGTAAAACCCACAGAAACACCTGACCTGAACAAAGGAGTGCTCTTGGTCCCCAGATTGATAGCTGGGAACCAGCATGGGACTGATCCAGACCCCCTGAATGTGGGTGTCAGTGAGGAGACCTTGGAAATCTATGGGGCCCCTTGTAGTGGATCAGTACTTATCCCCAGCATAGGAATGGACTCTGGGAGCCCATTCCAATTGGAGGGATACTCCCTGAGACTAGACACAAGGGGGTTGTCCTAGTCCCTATCCCAAAGAATATGACAGACTTTGAAGACCCCCCCCCCATGGAAGGCTTCCCCCCCCCGGGGGGGCAGAAAGGGTATGGGATATGTAGGGTGTTAGTGGGGGGGGGTGCAGGGGAGGGAGAGGGCCCTGGGATTCACATGTAAAATAATTTTCTTTCTAATAAAAAAAGAAATATTAATGTTATTGTTTAAATGCTTTTATAGGCCCTAATACTGGGTAAAAGTACGACCTTCTGAAATGTAAGTATCACATAAAGCATGTATCTGAATTTGAGAATGTTGTAAAAATGATGGCAAAAAGACTCCTATGCCTGTCCAGTTTGATGTATTTGAAGCCATGCAACCATCATAGTAATCTGAGTCAGAATATATTCAGTATTTCTGAAAGTTTCTTCTGCTTTTTTATTGTTTTGTGATTATTATCATTGTCTATGTGGAAGGAAGCCTTAGACAGGTGTGCTTAGCACAATGCTGTGGTGTATAATACATTACAATTGACTGCTACACAATGGCATGAACATCCCAAGGACGCGTTCACTTTTGTAATTGGACCTTTTCCTGATACCTTCCAATTCCTGTCTGTGGGTAGCTTCCAGAAATTGTTAGTTCTCATTATTCTTCTCTAATCTTGACAACTTTATATTTAACTTCACATGGTAATATATATAATATCATCCTTCTGTGTGAAGCTCATTGCACAATCTGTAACAAGCTCTAGTTTCACTAGATGAGTTACAATAACAGAATTTTTCTTTTCAGTATGTTTGATATTTCACCTGAGACATAAACCATAATTTCCTTTGCCTTTGATTTCCCAATAGAACTTAAATTGCTTTTGTGTTCTAGCTAGCTCCATGGATCCAACTGTCTCTACCTCTAGAGCTCTGGTATTAGAAGTATATGCAACTGTGTCCTGCATTTTCTTGGGAATTCTGAAGATCAGTAACAAACTCTCATACTTGTAAAGCTAGCTCATCACTGACTAAGCACTCTTACAAGCCCCATTTTGATTGTCTTCATTTGTAGAAGTATTTTTAAGTTAATAATAATGTCTAATGTTTAGTTAACTGCATCTATCTGAATAAACTAACTAGCAGTCTCAGAAAATGCAAAGACAATGCATTTAAAAGAATTTAAAGATGTGACTTGAGGATAAGATAAATATTTAGGTAATAAAATTTATAAGAAGGACTTGATTACTTACCTAAAGTAAAATCTTCCCCTTACTAAACTCATGCTTTGTTTTGTAATCTGTTGCCATGATGGAATTAATTTGAGCTCTACTGTGATGCTGCTCCACCCTGTGTATATTCTTTGAGAGTTTCATGCAATTTAGCCTGATTATTTTCATCCCTTACCAGTCCTTTCCAGATCTACCTTCTTCCATACTCACCCAATTTTTTTCCTTTTTTTCTTTTAATTAGAAAGAAAGTTATTTTCAAGTCAATCCCAGGTCCCGTTCCCTCCCCTCCTCCCTTACCTCCCCAACTAACACCCTACCTATCCCATACCCATTCTGCTCCCAAGGGAGGGTGAGGCCTTCCATGGAGGATCTTCAGAGTCTGTCATATCCTTTGGGATAGGGCCTAGGCCAACTTCCTTGTGTCTAGGCTCAGAGAGTATTCCTCCATGTGGGATGGGAATCCCAGAGTCCATTCCTATGCTAGGGATAAGTACTGATCCACTACAAGGGGTCCCATAGATTTTCTAGGTCTCCTCACTGATACCCACATTCAAGTCTGGATCAGTCCCATGCTGGTTTCCCAGCTTTCAGTCTGGGGACCAAGAGTTCTCCCTTGTTCAGGTCAGCTGTTTCTGGGGGTTTCACCAGCTTGGTCTGGACCCCTTTGCTCATCAGTCCTCCTTCTCTGCAGCTGGATTCCTCACCCAACTTTTTGTCTACTTTTTTAATCCTTCTAGATAAATGTGTGCTGCCTTAATATTCTTAAATGCATGATCTTCTAGGGAAGCTTGCAGAGTTACTACACTCTCAGAGAAAACTCTCTCTTTTCTAGCAGCCGACAATTGCCAGTGGCTCCAGGGTTGGGATTTCATGACCAGCTCCTGTCACCAATTTAGATTTGGTACAGCTTTGGCTTACAAAGGTTTTCTCCATATTGTTGTAATTGGTTTGAACTCATATATGTAGTTGCACTGCTACATGCAAAAGATGTTTTTTCTTGTAATCATCCTCTTCCTCTACATGCATCTCTGTATGTACATATGAAGTCATGCACTACCTCTGCCTGTGTCTGTCTGTTTCATACACATGTAATCAAACTCAGGTGTCATTTCCCAGGTGCTATGTATTTGTTGTTGTTGTTGAGCTGGGGTTTCCCAGTAACTTGCCAAGTGGACTAGGCTGGGTGACCAACCACTCTCCAGGGAATTGGTACTACAAGTATGCACAACTATGTCTTGCTGGTTTTGTCTGTTTGTCATCGTTGTTGATTGTTTTGTTTTGTTTTGTTTTAAATATATGTTCCCCGTATTGAACTCAATGCTTGCAAGGCAAACACTTTATGTTATTTTGCAGACATGTATTCATTAATTTTTAGGTATTGCTCCTCATGGGAATGTAATCATGACTCTGCCATTGAGGAGTTAATGATGAGTATGGTGTAAACTATATTCAGCCTTGTTTTTTACAAGTGACATATCTTCTTAGAGTCAAGGGAAATTATTAACACAATTTATAGAGAATGAAGGACTCTGACTGAAACCTTTAATCAGTCATATCCTTGATATCAGACCAAACACGATAGATCTCTATCCAAAAATTCACATACTTTCCAAAGCCTTTACTTACTTACTGTTTAATTCTCTGCATTAAGGAAGGCACACAGTCATCTCATTTAGTGCCCGTGGAACTCGCTGTATGGTGCAAACATGAGCAATGAACAATAGTTATTACAGAACATGTTTCAAAAGTCGAGAGATGACCATATAGATGATGCTAAAATCTAAATGAAAATGCGTGTTTGGGGAGCTGAAGAAATGACTCAGCAGTTAACAATAAATAAAGTTCCTTCAGAATACCCATATTCAGTTACCAGCATCTATACCAGGTAGCTCACACTCACATGTAACTTCCAACCTAGGGGCACACTACCCATCTAGCCTTCACAGGGAAGTGCATGCCATATACCTATACACAGACACACACATACCCATAATTTAAAAAAAGAAAAAGAAATCTAATGAAGTGATTTTGAGGCATAAACTAAAATGCCTCCAATAGAATTCTCAGTTACAGAATATAAAAATGAATCATTTTAACTTGTCAGTTTCTAGTAACCAGACCTTCAGAGATCATGTAAAATTTTAACTTAAATTTCATACTTTACCTTATTTTCATGACAAGTAGAATATCTTTCCTCTATGAAATTTTATGAAGAAACAAAAAAATTTACTGTGGAAATTTTGTTAAAGGACATTCAACACACACAAAAAGCAAAACACGAATGATTTTATCTGCGATAGAAAAAGGTAAAGTGAAACAGAATTTCATTATTCTAGGATTTATGGCATCCTGTGGCCAATAATTCTTTTTAAGCCTGAAATACTTTTGACACAGGAAAAGCACTCAGCACCCTTGGAGCCTTGTTTAAATGTCATTCTTACTTTGGATACCCACCATGGCCCCTCTTTATATGTACAATTTCAATTTCAGTTCCACCCCAAAACATTTGTTTTCTTATTCTACCACACAGCACATAGCACAGGCTAATATATTTTCTATATTTATATATAATATAATATTATCTATAGTACATTCTGAATTTAGAATGTAAGTTTTAAACTTATTATATTTCTTACACATAGGAAATTATTCAGCACCTATTTTATGTTCAGTAACTATTCCTTTGCACACAGAAAACAAGAGGTGAGAAAAAGTATAGAGAGAGTTACAAAGGAGGAAAAACTATGTGAGAGGAGAATGTTTTGCACCTAACTTCTGAAAGCAAATGCTGCAGGCAACATTCAGCATTAATCTATGAAGTAATTAATCCCCCTGAGCTTTAACATATCTGGAGGAAATCTCATGAGCATCAGAAAGAACAATAATATAAGCCACCATCCAGAACTGGCTTTCTCAGTTGACATTATTTTATTTTATTGATTCTCATAAAGAACCTCTGATGCCAAAAGTCTTTAAATACACAGAAGATACAGATGTACCATGATGAGAAAGGGCTAACCCCTCCTGAGATGTCTGGGACAAATAGGGAACAGCAGGCTAGAATGTAAATGTGGGTTTTCCAGTGATAGTCTTTTGTGTTTTCTAATGTATTTTTTGCAAATAAAGAAAGGCTGAAGAATGGAAGAATTATCTATTATCACAATATTTTCCATTTTGTTTGTGTGGTTATGTCATAATTTACCTCAGTAAAGGGGATTTCATTGGTATGTGAAGGTTTATTTAAACATCAAAAAGCTACTGACTAAAAGCATTTTCTTTCCAGTGAATAAGAACTGCATACAAATTCATATCAACATAACATATTTTGAAGAGTTTCCTTTAAAAAAAACTATAATTAAAGACTCAGAGATATTCCAAGTATGTTCACTCATTGTGGCTTGTCCAGAGGGGTGGATAACTTTAGTTGAATGAGTAAGGATGATAGTACCTGGTGTCATCAACAGAAGAATGTTGAGACTCACCTAGAACTCTGCTGTAGTATGAATTCCATCTTCCCCAGTAGGACTGAAATATATAGTCTTGCAGATAGTAAGATAAGGTGTTCTTAACTCTTTCACCAAAGGACATCTGGTCAGTGAGCTCTGATAAGGCTGCAGGTACATAAGAGACTGGTGCGGGGATTTTCCCACAGTGCCTCTCCACTGTAAAGGCTGGAGAGTAGCGCAATGTTTACATAAATGGAATTCCCAATTTCAGAGCCACCAGATCACCACAGGTTGTTGTTGGGTCAGCTATTAACACATTGAAGCCACAGTTCTGAAGTTTTGCCATTAGTGTGGTATTGTTTAGTACACCATCACAGAGATTAATATTAATTTGATAGAAAGTCTCAAATAATTTTCCTAGTTCTTTGTAGAAAGTCCACATGGAAAGAGGTGTTGGCCTGTGGTCTAGCCACAGGGCTATCATGTGTTCAATCATTTCATCTATGTTGCTTTTCGTGAAGGAAACTGGAACCTCTTCAAAATGCACAAAGGCAGCAGTACTGGATTTGATCAAGAGAGTTTCTGATGAAGCCAGTACAGTCACACTGTGATTTCTTCTAATCAACTCTTCAAGGAGGGTTTTGATATTTAGCCAATGGCTGCCATCTGCAGGCCAAATTAACACATTCCCACTGAAGACAATTTCAGTCAGAGCCAAATGAAAAACAAGCAGCTGGGAAAACTTCTTAATCATGGTGGCACCCACCGTGGGAAACTGCCTACTGTGGCTCTTTTAAATGAAAAAGAAAAATTCAATGTATATAGGTAGATTTCAGATAAATAATATCGAATATGATAATTTAATTACACCCATTCATAGGCCAGTTGTTATGTAAATTAAGATGTATTTTACACAATTACAGTGAGGGTCCAAGTGTGCTACGGACAACAGAATAATGCAGCAACAGTTCAGCACATACGTCCCATGTGTTCCCATCATCTAAGAATGTGCTTTTGACCAATGAGAGAAACTTCTTTATCATTTCTAGGCTCCTGAAGGAGAAGAGTCTTTAGAATAAGAAGCTAGAAGAGCATGGAGAAGTTAGAAATAGGACAGGATTATTAGAGTGGAAACAGAAAAATAAAGAGCACAGGAAATAAAGAGCATGACCCTCAGATTGTGTGAGAAGTTACTACAGAAATCTTTTACCCCTTCCTTTGCTCCTGAGAAGCATTTCACCTTTAGAACCCTGTGAAGGGGCTGGAACAGGTCTCTTAGCCTTTACACAAGTGTAATGAAAAGAAGCTATGAAATGGGTGTCTGTGTGTTCTGTGATGCCAGATGCACTTTGTAAAATCATATGTGTCCTCATTATAAGCCATTTCTGTATACATTGTCTTATTAGACCATTGTGTGTCAAGCATTATCTCCTTCACTTCACTGAGAACTGTAATAGAGTGCTAAAACTAACATGACAAAGTTATCTAACTTGGAGTATATTCATAAGTCACTGCTGAACCAGCATTATCATACACAATTAGGAAGAAACCTGAAAAAACTTCTATTTATTGGATAATTCCTCTAACAACTATTTTTAGAAGTTTTAGATTGATGGGGTTTATGTTAGTAAACATTGTATAGAGGATGACACTTTTACTCTGAGTGATTTGTCCTTGCTTTTCACTTCCTTGTTACAGGCAATTCTTTTTTTCCTTCTTTTTTTTTAGAATTAATATTTATTTAAATTAAAAACAATCTTATTTTACATATCAATCTCAGTTCCCTGTCCCTCCTGTCCTCTCATTCCCAACACCAACCCCCCATCCTAGCCCCTATCCACTCCTCGGGGAGGGTGAGGCCTCCCATGGAGGATCATCAAAATCTGTCACATCATTTGGGGCAGGACCTAAGACCTCCCCCATGTATCTAGGCTGAGAGTGTATCCCTCCATAGGGAATAGATTTCCAAAGCCCATTTGTGCACTAAAGATAAGTACTGGTTCCACTGACAGAGGCCCCATAGACTTCCCAGGTCGCTCACCTGACACCCATGTTCAGGGGGCCTGGTTTGGTCCTATGCTGGCTCCCCGGTTGTCAGACTGTGGTCTGTGAGCTCCCACTTGCTTTTTTTCCTTCTTAAGGTGCAACTTAAAACAATTCAAAACAGTTCCTTGAAGGCTGTTGAAATAGGGTGTGTTTTACATGATCTATATAGGAGGCTAAACAAGAGGAAACCAAGAGTATAGTAAGTCCCAACCAAAAACATTATATCCAGTGAAGGTTTTGTGATGTTGGAGAATTGTCTGGACCCTCTCAGCCTAACTTTTCTTGGGTGCAAATGAAAGACAGAAGAACTAATTTGTTAGATTGCTTTGCAAGTCAGCAATCTCTGCAGAGCTACAGTGAAGACTGCTTCCCTCAGAGCAATAACATAATATTCTTTACAGTTTTATAAATTTTTCCAAAGCAGATTAAAGAATCCAATGACTAAATTAGTAATCTAGCTTTTGACATGGGTGAACAAGAGTTTAGAGGTACCACTTGAATTTCTGAACAAATCTGAACCAAGCAAAGGCAGTTACATAATGTTGGAATGTTAGACTCATCACAATGCCATTAAACAGAGCCATGAGAAGAAATAAGATGATCAAAAGGATAAAAAGGTGCATGGCATCAAACTATGTACTATCCCCTCACATTTTTTAATGCAGAGGCTGAAAATCAAAGACAGGTAAGATCTTTTTGCTTCCAGGAGACCTAAGACTGGTCATGCATGACAGAGTGTGTGTTCCAAAGACAGATAAGGCTGGGAGGTGGAAGAACACAACCTAAGAAAGACACAGTCATCTGTCCTGTAGCAGAAGCTCAGGTATTAATTAATTAAATTTAGAAGGGGAAAATTTGTCAGGGCCCATATAGATGGCTCCATTTCATCTTGTCCCTAGGTCAGAGAGTTCAAAACGATCCTTAGTTAGTCATAAGAACTAAAAGTCTAAAGCATGGCTACAGTAGGATGCTTGATCTTGGTCTTGGGTATCTTATCTAAATTACAACAGACTTAGTCTGGGGTGTGGTTACTCTTGACTCTCAAAGCCAGATAATGAGAAGTTGAATCTAAGTTGTGGTTACTGAATCCTTGGAGAATTAAGGAAGAAAGTCTGTTTGTTATGTATACATGGTACCATGTCTTCCTCTTTTGTTTAAGGTATTTAAGAATGGTGAAGAATAAAGTCAAAGAGTTCAGTATTTTAAAAAAAAAAGATAAAAAGAAAAGTTGAAGAATGGACATTAAGTATCAGACTTTACTTCATAATCAGTTACTCTTGAATCCTGAAATTCCAAGTTCTTTAGTAACTAAAGGACCAAAAAGAAGGAGAAAGAAAAACTTGGGGAAGATGTGCTGTCAGAACATTTTGTTTTTGTTATTTTTGTAATTTCTGAGGAGACAGCTTCAATTTGAAGATTGCTATAGTATTTTGCACCAATTCAATTTTGAAACACAGAAGCCAGAGCATAGAGTGAAATATATCATACCAGTGGCCATAAAGAGCTCCGTTGGCAGCACCACTAAATGACTTGGGAGTTTAAAACAGGAAATTTTCAGAGTCAGTTTCTTACTTTTAAAGGGTCCTTTCTGGGCAGTAAAATAACTTTATTACTCTGTGATAAATGATGTTTTTAGTTAACAGCAATGCATGTATTTCTTTGTTTAGAAATTATACTTGAATGGTAGAGAGTTTATCTTATGAGAACTGCTTTAGGCATCTGTTGTATTTTGTTCTCTAGTTTCATATGCTACCAAAATATTTCATAATTGCAAATTCAAAACATGCAGTAACATTTTATTTATGGATGTTTGTAGGTATTATCTTATGGAGTTAAATGTCCATAAATGGAAAAAGAAGAATTTAAATCAAATCTGTCTGATATAAAAATGAAAGTGGCACTTAACTAGATAAAATTACATATTAATTTTTAAATCTTTATTTCACATTAATCATTTAGTCTCCATGAGTACCTGGTTCAAATAAATATCTGAATATGACATTTAGTTATAATAGTTTATTGCTATTTCAAATTTCTCAGTTAATTTTATATGTAATACTATATTATGAAATTATATATAATATATTATCCTAAATATATAAAAGATGTTCCCTCAAATTACTGCTTATTTTGTAGTGGTCAGAGCATAAAACTTAAATACATAATGGATTTTACATAGTCCACTGTTATGAAATATTTATATTATTGTCTCTTTAAGAGATTACAAAACTTTGGTGGTTTTGAAAAATATTATAAAAATAAATAAAAATTACCTGGATCAAGTTTAAGCAATCATATTTGAAATGTGCAGACCCTTTTTCTTATTTTCAGCTAAAGGATGTTTACAGAAGTCTCTTAGAGATAGAAAATATATCCCAGACAACAGATCTCAGACATCAGAGAACCACAGAGAGCTATTCCTTAAGGAATAATGAATAGTATAGTAACAACACAGGTAATTAAACTTCATGCATCTAATTTAAAAAGGCAAATACATAATTACACATTGTAAAAAATGAAAGGAATATAAGAATGTTCAAGTAAAACTACATCAAATAACTGATAGATTTCTGTCTTAAATTTAAATTGGAAGAAAAATTTCTCAAGTTTGGTATGGAAATCCCTCAGCTTGATGCTAACTTATGATTATTTTAGTTATTCAGGGTCTTTTGTGATTTTATATGAGTTTTAGTTTAGTTTTGGTTTGGTTTTTCTATTTCTGAGAGAGTGTCATGGGGATTTTGATTAGGATTGCATTAGATCTGTAAATTGCTCCTGGTAGCATGGATATTTTTCACAATACTAATTCTACTGATCCTTGGGCAAGGAGAGTCAGTCTTTTCATCTTCTAGTGCCTTTTTCAAATCTCTTCCTTCAATTATTCACATCTTTTACCAGAGAGTTCTTTCAGCTCCCAGGTCAAGTTCCTTTGATATATTTTTGAAGCTACTATGAATGGCAGTTTTCCATAATTTCTTTCTCAGCATGCCTTTTATCAGTATATACTATATTCTAAATAATACTACTTATTTTCATCAGGATCCTTATTTTTAATGCTGAAACTAATGACCATTTTTATGTTTTCTGATGGAATTTTTGGAATCTCTTATAAAACCATCGGCAAATAGGGATAACTTGACTTGTTTTCCTACTTGTAGTGTTTTAATTTCCTAGCTTTGTCTTATTCCTATAGCACAGCATTGGAAAGAATCAGGGGTGGTGGACAGACCTGTATCTATCCTGATTTTAGTGTGTTTTGCTTTGTGTTTTTCCCAATTTAGGATTATGTTGTCCATGGGTTTATTATGTTGAGATAGTTCAACCTCAACTGATACAAGTACAATACACTATACAACTAAGCCTCAGTGAAAATAAAAAAGAGGGGGTGAGAAGGTTGTAAGAGCAGGGGGATCCAGGACTCCTGCTGCTAGGCAATGTCCCCTAGACACAAAGGGAAAATCTGCCCATGAAATCTCAACAATATGGTTGCCTAAACAAGAACAGAATAATGATGTCAGTTGATACCTCCACAAACAGGGTGAATTCAATATGGTTCCACCACTAGATGAATATCTACAGATGGCTAACTACTCCCAAGAGAGGCAGAACTAATTTGCTTC